AGCTTTCACAGTACTTGACATGGTAACATGCAATAAATGTTAATGATAAGCATATATCTCATACTGTGGTTCCTTTTAAGTTTTTTTAATATAAATAACATTTTATATTTACATACGAATTTGAACCTCACAAAATGCTTCATTATTATTATCTCTTTGATTCTTATATAAACCTTGTGAAGTAGATGGGACTTATTATACTGGTTTTGGTTTACACAGAAAGCAACTAAGCTGAAAGTCTGGTGATACTGATCATACATCTACAGTGCAAAATCCAAGATCAGTAACATTTAACTCAGCACTAAATGTAACTCGTATCTGTGGTTCATCTTAGTACAAAACATCCGAGTTAACTTAATCATTGTATTAATGTTACCTTATTCATCAATTAGAGGGTCTTATTTTCTTCTCAAGGTGTGTTAACTTGAACATCACGTGGTATTTAAATTCCTGTGGGAATAATAATCTCTGAAAAATAGTGTTTTGGAAGTATTGAAGGACCTTTTCATCTATCTAACACAACTTTCCTCCATTTTTCCTCTGAATCATTTCCCTTTACAATGATAGCAACAAGAGTACATTAACCCTAATGCATCAAGTTAACAAGTTTTTATTTAAATTCATCAACACAGACTCTTAGAAATGTCAGTCATTAATCTATTGCCAGGTGTCAACTGGTGAAATATATCCCAAATTTTTCTCCTTCAAAAAGATTAGAAATGCATATAAGGCCTACCAAAGAGGAAAATCAACAGCACAGTTAACTGTGAAATATACTGTCCTTGGGATCTAATAGTTATTGAGCAAAACATAAACTCAAATAAGCTGCTTGCAATTGCCTACAACAATGTCCAGAACCACAGCTGTGAGCTATCCTCTATGAATGCAGGGTGAGACCTTCTCTGTGCTAAACATCTGCCCTGCTGTTGGAGAAAAAATAAACCTCTGGCAGCTATAAAGTCACTCAGGCTTATCTCCCATGTCACAGAGCAACAAGGGGCAAACAAAAACCTTATGCAATTAATGGGACTTGAAAATCCATCCTTTATGGCAAATTAATATACTGTGTAGTTTCATTTCCTCCTGATCACAAGATGCTATCCATATGCCACTGTCTGAATTCTATAATGACAGCCTAATAGTACATCTTACCCAGCCACAATTTCTATGCATTGTTTCCTTGTAGAACTGCACACTCAGAGAATCCATAATTAGACTTTGTTATTTGATACTTCAACAATTAAACAGATTAAATAGGGTCCTGCATGGGACAATAATACCTGCATTTCACAAGATGATATGATTATTAATACAATTATGTGCACCTGCAGTCATAAGGAAAAATCAAAGCAAAACTGTACCTTCAAATAATCGTCATATATAAATGATGGATGAATGAGCTCCTGGGATAGTCTCCTGGTCACTGTAGAATTTGTTGCAGTTGCTTATTTTAAGAAAAGGAGATGGGGCAGGGAAAGGCAGAATAGAAACATAATGAGAAATGGAAACTCCCCCATTATTAACTTACCAGGTGATGAAAAATAAACCTAATTCTATAATATGTACTAGGTACTTTCTAGGTGACAACCCTACTCGGATTGCATAAGTATGTACAATTGAGGGTTACATTGAGCTCTGCTGTGTGACAGATTTCACATATAGAAACATACTATTTTTTGTTTCCTTGAGAAGATAATAAAATATCCATTATCCTGAAAATTTAAAAAGCAGATTGGTTTAGGCTAAAAAAAATTTATCCAAAAATGATATTTCAACTAGGAAAAATTCAACTAGACTATTTAAAAGTAAATTGCATAAATGTGGAATTTAGAAAATCTGCTAAATAAGATGCATTTTGAAAACTAACCATTAAGTTCCTTTTCCTAAAAAAAAATATTTCACTTAAAATAACTAAGTATATTTATACAATATCAAACATCTAATAACTAGTATTTCACAAAATATTTTAACTATTAGTATTATAAAAAATAATAATTTAAATTATACACTTCATCTGAACAATGAAAAGTGAGGCCGATCATACTTAGAAACACACCAGAAGACCCAGAGAATGATGTCATTCTAATGTCATGGTGCAATTTGTCAGTGCTACCATTACAAAAGTAATTATGGAGTTGTACATCCCAAAATACTAGTAAATACAGAGAAGATTTAAAACACAGAAAAACAAACACTGTAGCTCAGTGGTAGAGCACTTGCCTAGCACATGTAAGGCCCTGGGTTTGATTCTCAGCACCGAATATAAATAAATAAATAAATAAATAAATAAAAGCTTAAAACACATTGCAATTACATGAGTAAAAAAATTAACATAAATATGATATACAAAACAATTACATGGCTGCATTTTCTTAGTTTCAGAAGAGTATATCACTGCAGTGTTTTGTACAAACACTAGTTTTTCCTATACTTACA